CAGAAGAAGAAGGTTCAAGCCACCAGCCACCATGGGCTTCACCTCTTTCTTCATTTTTCCTCCTTCCCCCTTCCTCCTCCTTCCTCCTCTTCTTCCTCCTCCCATCTCCATCCCCATTCCCTTCCTTGCCATTCCCCTCTTCCTCCGCCTCTTGCACCTTGGCATCTTTCTCTCCCTCTGCGCCCTTCCTACTTCTCTTGCCTCCCTCTTCCCATTCCCCCTCCTCCATTTGTATCACCCTTCCTCCCCTCCACCCCCCTTACCTTTCTTAGCCCTTACTCAGCAGTGGCCATGACCTGAGCCAGGGCCCCAGACTTCGCGGCCCAGGGGCCCGCAGGCCCTCCCTACTGCCCCAAGGCTGCCAGTCCTTGCTGCTCTCTGGCCAGGAGCCCCAGGCCTGGAATCCTATGAAGGAGCTGGACCCTGGTCCCAGCCCTAAGTCTGCCCCTGACAGCCGAAGCTCTGAGGATCTGGGTAAGTGTCCAAGGTCCGAGACTCAAGGGGACAGAAAGGCCCAATTTCAGGTGACAGGGTCAGAGGACCAATGGCTGCCTCTGTGTCTTTGTGAAACTCTTGCTCTGAGAACAAATTCTTGCTTTCTAGTCCCACCTTCTCCACACAACCTGACTCCATCTATCCAGCCCCTCAGGGACAAACTTCCTGAAAGGTGGATCTGTCTGTTCCTCTCTGGGACAAACCTAGGCCACCTGTGCAGCACCAGTCCACTAGAAAGCTGTCCTCAACTTCTTAAGGGAGGGGAGGCTAGCTTTGTGTTTTCTAGAAGTGACTGCCACTGGGGAAGGGAGATGTCTTTTGTGGGTGGCTCCCTGTCTCTGGCCTCAGACTCAGCCCTCCTGTCCCTCCCCCCACAGAGCCACCCCATCACCCCTCCACCTTTGAAACCGAGCCATCCTCAGACTGGGAGCCCATGGCTGAGTCAGAGGAGCAAGTCAGTCCCTGCAGGCCTGCCACCCCAGGCCCTGTACAGGGGAAGGCCTTGGTCAAAGGCCTGTGCGACAACCAGCGTCTGCAGTGGGAGGTGAGCTTTGAGCTGGAACCGCCTGCCCTGCAGAGGGAGGACGATCAGGATGCCGACATGTGGAGCGAGACCTTCCACCACCTGGCAGCGCGCGCCATCATCCGTGACTTTGAGCAGCTGGCGGAGCGTGAGGACGAGATCGAGCTGGGTGAGCACCCAGGATTGAGGAGGGGGCCCGTATTCCCTACCAGAAGCCAGCGGTTTAGAATCGCGGAACCCCACCCACTCACTACCCCAGGCCCACCCCATCCTTTCCCAAAGCCCCGCCCACAGCCCAAAGCCTGCCCTCTAACAGCTAGTATCCCATCAACTGCCCAAGATCCCCCTCCTTAGTCTTCAGAGATCTGCCCACACCCCAAAGCCCTCAAAGCCTTTGCTCTAGGAGTCCCAGTAACTCAGCCGTTTCCCTAGGTTAATCATCTAACCGAGCAATGCCCCCCAGTGTCCCCTCCCATGCCTGAATGCCCACCCCACCTCTTACCAAAGCTTTGTCCATACCACATGGAACTCCCTCTAATCTCCTAGTGCCCTGCCCACCATGCTGTGTATGTGTATGCCCACCCCTCTTTACGGCACATCCTAAAGCCAAACCCACACTCCCCCTCAAAAAAGAGTTCATCCCTGTCCTTCATAAAACCCCTTCCACAGCCTCGAAGTCTGCCCACGGGGGCACAGTGCTCTGCTTCCTAGATCCACCCATTCTCTCGTGGAAGCCCCACACTGCATACTCTGCCCTCTCTTAGAAGCAGAGAGGTGGAGGATCCCCATTCTGCTCAAGGCTCCACTATTAATTCTTCCTCCCCTGCCTCCATCACTTACCACCTCCCAACATCCCTGCAGTGGCCAAGGCTACCTGCCTGCCATTAGCTGTCTTGAGGGGCCTACACTCCAGCATACCTTTCCCCCACACATTTAATGGCGCTTAAGACTCTATCCTCAACCTGAGGTGCCCCCTTCCTCAACCCCGACCTCCTCCATCCTCCTCTCTTCCTGCCTCCTTCTCCTCCTGCCTCTGTTCCTACATCCATTCACCCCCATGCTCCCTCACACCCAGTACTTTCCTGCAGCGTCCCGTGCCTGGTTCTGGAGACCCGACAATGATAGGAACTCCTCTAAGGCAGAGCTTTTCCTATAAGGTCCCTAGATCCAGCAGAGATCCCACACTCTCTCATCAGCCCCATTGACCTCCTGACCATCAGCTGAGGACCCGGCTGGTGATCAGGCTGGGTGCTTGGTCCTGTAGATGCTGCCGAAGGTTGGTTGGCACAGAACAGAGCAAACCCATCTTTTCCCAGGAGCACCTGGCACTGGCTAACAGAGGCCAGCATTAATCAAAACAATTACACAGAAAATTAATTAAGTGCTGCTCAGAAACACATGAATCTAAGCCATGTACAAGAGGGATGGTTCAGGAGCTAATTTAGTTCAGGAACTGGGGCAGCCTTTCCCCAGAACATGACTATTGAGATCTGGATGAAACTTGCTTGGAGAACAGAGATAAGGGCCAAAAAGAGTTACACAATTCCTTTGTTCTAAGTTTATGCTTCATTTGCATACTATGTGACTTATATTTCATTTGTATTTCAGGGTAATGTGTGATACTCTTTTCTTCCCGTGAATACTCCCCCAGCCCTCATTTCCCTGGCTTCTGGAACAGTCCCCAAAAGGCAACAAGCCATAAGGAGGCTTCACTACTTGGTAGAAAGGGCCCAGCTTCCAGGGCAGGTCATCCTAAATCCTAACCTTGGGTCCTTATTAACTTACTGTGTGACCCTCCATCGACTCCTTCTCTGGTTTTCAGTCAGAGAGAGAGAGAGAGAGAGAGAGAGAGAGAGAGAGAGAGAGAGAGA